TATCTTGTATAACCCTTTTCTGACTTAAAGTCTATTTTATCTGTCAGCAATATAGCCAAACCAGTTCTTTTTTAGTTACTATTCTTTAAATATAATTTTCTATCCTTTTCCTTGCAACTTCTTTGTATCTAAAATGAGTCTTTTGTAGATAACATATAAATGGATCATGTTTTTAATCCAGCCTGAACTATCTTTTTTTTCTTTTCTTTTTTTTTTTTTAGAGACAGAGTCTCACTTTATTGCCCTTGGTAGAGTGCTATGGCGTCACAGCTCACAGCAACCTCCAATTCCTGGGTTTTAGGTGATTCTCTTGCCTCAGCCTCCTGAGTAGCTGGGACTACAGGCGCCCACCACAATGCCTAGCTATTTTTTGTTGTTGTTTCAGTTTTGGCTGAAGCCAGGTTTGAACCCTCCACCCTCCGTATATGGGGCACTGGCCACAGGTGCTGCCCACTATCTTTTTTTATTTTTCTTTGTTTTTTAATTTCAGAATATTAAGGGGGTACTAAAGTTTTTGTTACATGGATAGCTTTTGTAATGCTTAAGTCAGGGCTGTTAGTATGACCATCATCTGAATAGTGTTAATTGTACCTGTTAGGTTTTTACCCTTCTTCTCTTCCCTTTTCTTGATTTCCAATGACTTGTCTCTGTGCCTTTGTGTGCCCATTAATGAGTTCCAAATTATTACCGAGTACATATGGTGTTTGTTTCTCCAATCTTGAGATACTTCACTTAGAATACTGGTCTCCATTTCCATCCAAGTTGCTTCAAAAGACGTTAATTCATTTCTTTTATACAGCTGAATAGCATTCCATGGTATATACCATATATATATTATACTTTGTTAATATTCTTATGATTTGATAGGCACTTAGGTTGATTGTACATCTTTGTGATTGTGAATTGTGCTTCAATAAAGATATGAGTGCAGATGTCTTTGATAAAATGACTTATTTTCCTTTCTGTAGATACCGAGAATTCTGTAGTGGGATTGATGGATTGAATGGTCTACTTTTAGTTTTTTGACAAATCTCCATCAACAGTATATAAGTTCCATTCTCTCTGCACCCACACCAACATCTATTATTATTTTTTTGAACAGGCATTTTGATTGGGGTAAAGTGATTTTAACTTGTATTTCCCTGATGATTAGTGGTGCTGAGAATTTTTTCATGTTTCTTGGCCATTTGTCTATTTTTTTTTTTTTTTTGAGAAGCTTCTCTTCTTTTTCCAACTTTATAATGGGGTTGTTTCTGTTTTACTTGCTGGTTTGCTTGCGTTCTTTATAGATTCTGTATATTAGCCCTTTGTCAGATGTATATACTGTGAATATTTTTTTCCATTTTGTAGGTTGTTTGTTTGCTCTGTTGATTGTTTCCTTGCTGTACAAAAGCATTTTAATTTAATCAGTCCCGTTTATCTAGGCCAAGCACAGTGGTTCATGCCTGTAATCCTAGCACTCTGGGAGGCCGAGGCCGGTGGATTGCCTGAGCTCACAACTTTGCTATCAGCCTGAGCCAGAGTGAGACCTCACTAAAAATACCAGGCATGGCTCGGCACCTGTAGCATATAGCTCCAACCACATACGCCAAGGCTGGCAGGTTCGAACCTGGCCTAGGTCAGCTAAACAACAATGACAACTGCAACAAAAAATAGCTGGGTGTTGTGGCAGGTGCCTGTAGTCCCAGCTCCTTGGGGAGGCTGAGGCAAGAGAATCACTTAAGCCCAAGAGTTTGAGGTTGCTACATGCTATGACACCATGGCACTCTACCAAGGACAACAAAATGAGACTCTTGTCTTAAAAAAATAAAAAAAGGCTCAGCACCTGTAGCTCAGCGGCTAGGGTGCCAGCCACATACACTGGGGCTAGCAGGTTCAAACCTGGCCCAGGCCTGCCAAACAACAATAACAACTACAACAAAAAAATAGCTGGGCATGTAGTGGGCGCCTGTGGTTCCATCTACTCGGGAGACTGAGGCAAGAGAATCGTTTAAGCCCAAGAGTTTGAGATTGCTGTGAGCTATGATACAACAGCACTCTACTAAAGGCAACATAGTGAGATTCTGTCTCAAAAAAAAAGGTCCCATTTATTTATTTATTTTTGTTATTGCTGTATGAACTCTTTTTATTGGAGACTTTAATGCATTAACATTTAAATTAATTGCTGAGGTGTGAATATTTACTTCTGCCATTTAGCTATTTATTTTCTGTATGTGTTAGGTATTTTTTTTTTGTTCCTCAATTTCTCTATTATCTTTTTTTATAGTTAGTTGAAATTTTGTAGTACACCATTTTGATTCCTTTTTTCTTTACTTTTTTATGTACTTTTAGGGAGTACTTTTCTATTTACCTTTATTGTAAGGTAATCTCGCCTTACCGCAGGGATTAGAATTAATACCTTTAACCTCTAAAAGCCTAGTTTAAATAATGTCAAATTAGTTTCAATTGGTGTATAAACACTCTGCCATTATGTATCTTTGTCCCTCGTTCCGTTCTCCATATTTTTATTGATGCAGATTACATTGTTGTACTTTGTGTGTCCATTAACATAAATTTTTAAGTTTTTTAATGCATTTTTTAGAAATAGGGCCTCACTCTTGATCAGAGTGACTCAAACTCCTGAACTCAATCAATATGCTCACTCAGCCTCCCAGTGTGAGCCACTGTGCCTGGCCTCATTTAGTAATCTTATATCACTGTGCATGGTCTCTGAGATAAAACCTTCAGGGTATCTTAATTTGTTTCCATTGCACACCTGTGGAAATAGTGTTTATTTCATTACTGATTAGCTCACATTTTTGTGTAGAAATCCCTTAACATTATTCATTAAAAATGTATTTCCTGTTATCACTGTAATGTACTTTTAAGATACATTTATATGATATTTTGAATATAAATAAACCTAGTTATTTGGAACTTTAACTAATTTGGAACTATTTCTAATTGTATGTGTGAATTAAAAATTTTCCTTTTTTTGAGGCACAGTCTGACTTTGTTGCCCCGGGTAGAGTGCCATGGTGTAATAGCTCACAGCATTCTCAGACTCTTGGACTCAAGCGATTCTCTTGCTTCAGCCTCCCAAGTAGCTGGGACTAGAAATGCCCGCCCCAGTGCCTGGCTACTTTTAGAGATGAAGGTCTACTCTTGAGCTCAGGTGATCTGTCTGCCTTGGCCTCCCCGAGTGCTGGGATTACCTGCGTGAGCCACCACACCTGGCCTTAATGTCCATTTATATTATAGCTTATAGAAAGGGTTGGAGGGATGAAGTTCATTAGAATTCATCAATACCTTTTCTTTTTTTTTTTTGAGACAGAGTTTCATTTGGTCACCCTTGATAGAGTGCCATGGTGTCTTTAGCTCACAAAAACCTCAAACTCTTGAGTTGTAATCTTCCTGCCTCAGCCTCCCAAGTAGCTGAGACTACAGGCGCCTGCCACAATGCCTGGCTATATCTTAGAGATGAGGTCTCACTCTAGCTTAGGCTGGTTTTGAACTTGTGAGTTCAGGCAATCCACTGGCCTGGGCCTTCCAGAGTGCTAGGATATAGGTGTGACACCATGCCTGGCTTTATCAATACCTTTTTTGATTGGTCCATTGTGCCCTGGTCATGCTATTTTAATGCGTACATATTTTGAATATCATCCTCACTTACATATACAAAAAGGTACTTAATTTGGTTGGTTAGGGCACAAGGATAGTAGGTAAAAATCCCTGTGGATATATTTTTTTAGATTTTTCTTTTCAGTGAGAGATTCTTTCTTCATTGGTTATGTATAAGATGAAAACTTACTACTAAAGAGTCAATATACAGCTGTACTAGGAAAAACAGATTACAAATGTACATGTTAGAGAAATGGGGATTAGTAGATGCACTTTTACAAATGACAGATTATTACCACAAGTAATATTTTTCCAATTTTTAAAATAACTTTTCTTTTAATCCTGCAGATTCCTTTTTTAGAACTACCAATGACTGAGTTATAAACATCTGACTTACATGTAACTCATACTTATGAAAATAGACTCTTACAGTAATTCACCAAGTCACAAATCCAACTGATGTATGACTTGTACTTACGAATGGAGGCTATTATAGGTGATAGGTAAATATACCTGTTCCAACCTACATACAAATTCAACTTAAGAATGAACCTATAAAACCTTTCTCGTTTGTAAACTGGCCTATAATATATTTTGTAATTAAACCAAGTATTGTATTAGTTAATCCCTTAGCTATTTTTTTTTTTTGCAGTTTATGGCTGGGGCTGGGTTTGAACCTGCTACCTCCAACATATGAGGCCAGTGCCCTACTCCTTGAGCCACAGGTGCCCCCCCGCCTTAGTTATTTTTTATGGTTTAAACTTTTATGTTCTCAAATTCTTGAATTTTATTGTCATACATGAATTGTCAGTTCTACTATGCTTTATAGTAGGCTTAAAGAAAATGTTTATTTTTTATTTTTGGCTATTATTTTTCCTCTAGTTTGTGTCTTTAGTATTTCTACTGATGATTTTTCTAAAACCTCTATGTAAGCCAAGTACTCTTTATTGAGCCTTGTTTGTCTTAGTGGTGTAAGTAATAGAAATTATTTGTTTGTTTTAAAATATTTTTGTATTTGCCTTGGTAGTAAGCATACTTTAAAGTTTACTATTAAATGGTGAGGTATAAAAGCTCATGCCTTGTAACCCTAGCACTTCTTGAGGCCAAGGAGGGCGGATAGCTTGAGGTTAGGAGTTAAAGACCAGCCTGAGCACCATAGTGAGACCCTCTCTCTATAGGAAACACAAAAATTAACCAGGCATGCTGGTATGTGCCTATAGTCTTATCTCCTCAGAAGGCTGAGGCAGGAGGATCACTTGAGCCCAGGAGTTTGAGGTTGCTGTGACCTATGATGATGCCTGGGAAACAGAGAGAGATCTTATCTCATGTAGGAAAAATACAGTTAAACATCTCTCTGGTTAGAAAAAAAACACAATTCATGTAAATTTTCTGTGTTTCAGAAATCTTTTTCCAAAAAGGACGAAGGAACTCAAATCAGTTGTCCATAGTGCTCCTGGTTGGAAATTATTTGGCAAAGTTCCTCCCAGAGAGAATCTTCAGAAAACGTCTAAAATCATTCAACAGGTAAGTCCTAATGTAGCCATTTGTAGTTTGCCCTAGGTTTTCAAGCATTTTCTTCTGTTAATTAACCATATTATTCTTATTTTCTAGATAAAAACTTCAGGGATTATAGATTTTTATAGTAACTCTTTTTTTGTTTTATAAAAATAGGCCATATCTTTTCTTCACCTTTAATGGTTGTAAAAATTAAGAGAACATTGATATTCTTTCCCAGTTATTCTTTGAATAGCTTTAAAAAAAAAACTTAGGTAATCACTTTTTCCACATACTCGATTTCCAGTTGAACTTGATAGCATTTGCCAATGGCACAGATTTTATGAATATAAGAAGTTGTGAACTGACAGAATAATAAAAGATAAAAACTAAGTAGACTATCAGGTTCAACTCTTTCCTTTTTTTTAGTCCCTATTTTTCGCCCTTAGTAGAGTGCTATGGCATTATCACTGCAACATCAAATTCTTGGGCCAAGTGATCACCTTGCCTCAGTTTTTCATTTTTAGTAGAGACGGGGTCTCACTCTTGCTCAGGGTGGTCTCAAACGCCTGAGCTCAAGCGATCCACCCGCCTCAGCCTCCCAGAGTATTAGGAGGCTGAGCCACCACACCCAGCCCAACTCTTTCCTTTGTCACTCTTCAGGTTTTCTGCCTAAAGCAAAGACAACTTAATAATTAAGAAGGGTGTGTGTGTGTATGTGTATTTTATTTTTAAGAGACAGGGTTTCTGTCTGTCACCCAGGCTAGAGTTCAGTATGCCATATAGCTGACTATAGCCACAAACTCCTGGACTCAGGTGATCTTCCAGCCTTAGCCTCCCAAGTAGCTGGTACTATAGGTGTGCACCAACACATACCCAGCTAATTTTAAAACAATTTTTTAAATAGTGATGGAGGTCTCACTCTGTTGCCCATGCTAGTCTCAAACTCCTGATCATCAAATGATCCTTCTGCCGTGGCCTCTCAAAGTGCTGGGATTACAGGTGTGAGCCACTATGCCATTCTTTTTTTTTTTTTTGAGACAGAGCCTCAAGCTATCTCTCTGGGTAGAGTGCTGTGGCATCCCAGCTCACAGCAACTTCCAACTCCTGGGCCCAAGCAAGTCTCCCACCTCAGTCTCCCAAGTAGCTGGGACCACAGGCGTCCGCCACAGTGCCCGGCTATTTTTTTGGTTGCAGCCGTCACCGTTGTTTGGCAGGCCTGGGCTGGATTCGAGCCCGCCACCTTAGGTGTATGTGGCTGGTGCCTTAGCTGCTTGAGCCATAGGTGCTGAGCCACTATGCCATTCTATATTTTTGAATTTTTAAGATTTATGATCTTATTTGACTCTTAAATTTCTACTCCTCAGTATTAGATTAGTGAGAATGGAAAACAGTGAGACTGGATCAATCTGCAGTATTTAAGTTCAGAGAAGTTAGTGCTCAAAAGGAGATACATAATAAATTTCCTGTTTTTATCCTTCCCAATTATAATTTACCAGATTTAACATAATGAGCATTTATAAAAATAACCACTTTAGGACAATAATCATCATTTAAATTATAAAAAGTATTTTCTTTTAAAGATTTAGTAGTTTTTCTTTATTGCTTAAAAGAAAAACTGGTTTTTCAGGTAATAATGTTTAGAGCTTTAAAAACATTACTGGAGTGATGGTAGATGATGGAAGGTTGCTCGGTGGGTAAAGTGTGTGTTGCTTCAGTGATATATGAGCTGAAAGCCCTAAATTCACAAAGCAATATGTCAACGTAACAAAATTGCACTTGGACCATGTGAATATATACAAATAAAAAAATAAATGACAAAAAGAGTAGATAGATACAACAAAACTATTATTACAGTTAATTTTATTTATAGGTATAAAATAGTAACTAGTTTATCTACTGGTATTTAAAGTGCATAATTTCAAACTGTGTGCTGTCTCACTATGTCTTCCTCAGTAGAGTGCTGTAACATCACAGCTCACAGCAACCTCAAATTTTTGGCCTTGAGTGATTCTCTTGCCTTGGTCTCCCAAGTAGCTGGGACTACAGGCGCCCCCACATCAGCTATTTTTTTGTATTGTTGTTTAGCAGGCTCTGGACAAGTTTGAACCATCAGCCCTGGTGTATGTGGCTGGCACCCTAACCACTGAGCTACAGGCACTGAGGCCCTTCACTTTTTTCCAATATGGTGCATGGAGACTGTTAATTTGAAATAGTACAAGCCGGGCGTTGTGGTGGGCGCCTGTGGTCCCAGCTACTTGGGAGGCGGAGGCAGGAGACTCCCTTGAGCCCAGGAGTTGGGGGTTGCTGTGAGCTGTAATGCCATGGCACTCTACCCAGGGGGACAGCTTGAGGCTCTGTCT